TCCTGCAGGCACATCTCCTTCAAGAGGCACCTCCCTCGCCAGATGCACGTGTCCAGCATGGACTACGGCCTGGAGCCGCCGGCCGTGGCCGAGCAGCCCACCAGCATCGGCCGCATCAAACCCGAGCTCTACAAACAGAAAACGGTGGACACCGAGGACCTCAAGAAAGAGGCGGAGAAAACCTGCGGGAAAATCAACTTCACCCTCAAGTACGACTACGAGAACGAGACGCTGACCGTGAGGATCCTCAGGGCTTTTGACCTGCCSGCCAAAGACTTCTGTGGCAGCTCGGATCCCTACGTGAAGATCTACCTCCTGCCCGACCGCAAGCGCAAGTTCCAGACGCGGGTGCACAGGAAGACCCTGAACCCCACCTTCGATGARTCCTTCCATTTCCCCGTGCCCCACGAGGAGCTGGCCAGCAGGAAGCTCCACCTGAGCGTCTTTGACTTTGACAGGTTCTCCAGGCACGACATGATCGGGGAGGTGATCCTGGAGAACCTGTTCGAGGACTCGGACCTGTCCCGGGAGACGTCCATCTGGAGGGACATCCAGTACGCCACCACGGTGAGTGCCTGCTGGGCAGGGCTGGGCTTCTCCAAGGGGTAAATTCTGCGTGGGACCCCACTGATGGGTTCCTTGGGTGCTGTTAGCCCTGGGATCCACAGCCAGGGTGAAGCTCTCTGCCATGTGTGTATGACCAGAGGTCAACATGCCAACCTCTGGTAGGCCAGGAGGTTGGTGCTGAGAATTGTTGGATGTGCTGCTGACAGCTCTTCCAGAGCTGGATTTGGGTCTTTTAACAGCTCTGTTGAATCCCTCTGGAAAAGAAGCCAAGGTTCTCTGAGAATTTGAATTCTCCCCTGAGAGAGGAGAATTCCCAGTCCCTCCGGTGTCGCCCGGAGCTGGCAGGAGACACCAAACACTCGCAGTGATGGCTGAGTACAGAGCAGTGACATGAACCCCTCCATCAGAGCTCTCTGCTCCTCCACTGCCCTCCCAGGAGGATCTGGCTGCTCCTCAGGGCAAATGAACGATTGAACTGCTCGGCAGCAGGACACCAAATCAGTCACTGTCATTGTCACTGCACGTTGTTATTTCAGAAAATGAAACACGAGCTGTCCCCAGCCCCGTGGCAGTGAGCGTGGGCCCTGTCACATCTCTCCTGGTGACTGGCACAAGGCCACAACTCGAAAAAAAATCTGTCCTGCAGCTTCCCTCGTGGCTCATCTCATACCTTTGCTATCCTGAGCTGAGGAGAGAAGTGCCAAACACAAATATTCCTTGTGGTCAGCACTGCCAGAAGAGATTTGCTTCGTAACTCAGGTTTTTTCTCAGTGCCGTGTCCCCCACCAGCTGCACCCCTTCCACCAGTGCTCATTCTTCCATTGCAGAGTGTTCAGAACTTTCTGGAAGCTCTGGGGAGGTGGGCACAGCCCCGTGCCCTGTCCTGGTCCCAGGGCACGCAGGGGACACGGGGTGGCATCACCCTGGCAGGTGGCCCTGGGTCTGGAGCTGCCTTGGGAGGGCACAGAGAGCTCTGGCCCTGCCAGTCTGAGGACACAGGGTGGACACAGGGTGGACACAGGGTGGACACAGGATGACACAGACACCCTGGGGCAGCACTGGTGATGCCTCAATCTGGCAACCTAAAGCAGCCTAGGCAAAATTCAGAGTATCCAAAGCAGTTCTGTTCATTGCAGGGCCTTCAGGGCCATCCAGGGCAGTCCCACACCCACAATGGACAATGGCTCATGGGTTTTTCACCTTTTCTCACTTTCGTCCATTTGCACATCGGGGCTGAATCCTCCAATTGCAGCTGCAGCCAATGCAGTCATTCACTCCAAGTTGGCTCCCCCCAATTCTCTGTTGTTTCCATCTCTTGGGGCCTGGCACAGGGAGGTGTCCTTGAGTTTGGGGCTGCAGAGGAATTGTTTTGTGTAAAAAATGGGAGAGCAGGAGCTCAGCACTGTCTGTGGAGTGTGGAGTTAAACACTGAAGAATCACAGGGWTACAGAGAGAAAATACTTGGAAATAGAGAAGATTAAATCCTGAGGCATCACTGGGAGCTGCTGCTGTGCTGCCTTTTGAGCATCCTGCTGGAAGGACTGCGGGAAGGAGGCGCAGGATCAGCCATGAGGAAAATGACAGCTTTGGTTAGCGGGGTGCTCCCAGCTCTGGGCTTCCAACCTGCAAAATCCACTGTGCTCTGATTGATGGATGGCAATGAAACCCAAAACGCTGGCAGAGAGGCCAGCAGGAACCAGGCACATCCCTTCACCCGGAGAGGAGCAGCTAAAGGGGGAGAAAAGTGCCCCAGGGGTGCTGCTGCCTCCTGGAGTAATCTGCTGTGGCTTCTGTGAGGAATAGCTGATGTTTTCCTGGCTAAACAAACTCACAGAATGGGGGAAATGCCACAAAAGAGGGAAAACACCTTCCAGAGAAGGTGTGAGGGAAGCAGAGCCAACACCAATTCCGAGATCTGCCATGGACATGGCCAGTGCCAYGTTTGGCTCCATCCCCTCGTCCTCTCTGTGCCATTCCCAAGGAATGTCCTGCTCCTGGAACATCTCAGCCAGCTGTAGCACACCCAAGGACAACTTCTGTTTAATCAMAATTGAGAAGGGTAAATACAGTTCYCACAAAACCCCAAGAAGGCTCTGGGTACCTAATAATGCATGAGATCAATGGTGTGGGCAGGAGAAACACACTTAAGCAACAATCTGGCCCAAAGAGCCAGCACTCAGCTCCTTAATTAATGACTGTACAGCTCGTGAATCAGTGAAACATTTTTGGTTTCAAGTCTATCGATTCAGAGCTTCCATTAATTCCTAAAAGGTACCAATATGAATTTTGGAAATGTCCCAGCGTCTATAATCGGCAAGAAAATAATGTACCCACAGGACATGCTCTGCTCTCTCGGATTTGTGGCTGCAAAGAAAAATCTCTTGACCYGATGCAATGAGGTCAAAGAACAATTTATGTTCGTTTTATACCCCGGACGGGTCCTCTCAGTGCACGAGAGGAATAAATGATGAGGTGGTGTCCAGAGGCTGCTGTCACCATCTCGCTGCTCTCTTCTGACATCCTGTCCAAAGCTTCCTGCCCTCAGCCCCTCCAAACCAGCTAAGAACAAAGAATGCATGAAAGAATAGACCCAATCAAGATTTTATATAATATTCATTAGTATTCTGCACATCTAAGTGGAATAAAGATTTAATCTCTGCCTTACCTGAGAACGAGCAGGAAATAATTTGGCAAAACCCCTCATCCATCAACAAGATCTATTCCCCAAACACTTAGCAAAGCTTTAAGTGCATTTACTTGTCTTTCTAGTTCCGTCACTCCACTACTAACAGCTACAATTTCTTTTCAGCAGATCATTATATCACATTGAAAGGAATCAAACATTTTCCGAAAATGAGCGGGTTGTTTGCTCTACAGATGTGGGATCTGTGTGTAGAAAATCAGATTCCTTTTTTTTTAAATCCATTTTTAGAAGGTGTTTGGAAATCTTTCTGCTGACTTCAGATGATGATGCTTTCTAGTTTAAATAAGACATTTGGTTTGTTTATTTTCCCATGAATTCCCATGGGCAAGGCGATGATGGAAAGGGCTTTTAGGAGGTGTAGTCGATGAAGCTGCAGGTACAAGAAGTGCTAAAAGTTATTTGATGGGGCACTAAAAGAGTAAATCGTGTAATCCAAAAGCACCAGACATTTCTGAGTGCCATCTGCTGGTTAATTCCCCATTTATACCCAAAAACACAGCCCCACGCTGTGCCAGCTCCTTGAGGGCATCTCAGAGGGCTCAGGGGTCCAAATGATGGTTAAAGTGTCACAAATTATAATCCAGCTGCCATTAAATGGGGCCTTTCATGGCTGTCTYCTGCTTTAAAGCCATGACCCCTCCAGAAACTCGTGCTCAGCTTCAAAAAAAACCACAGGGTCACTCAAAGGCGTTTTCATTTTATGCAGAAATATTGGGCTTCATCAAAGTCATAGAACTCTGTGAGTGAATTCATCCCTGCCCAGGGATGGAACTGGGTTATATTCAAGGTCTCTCCCAACCCAAAGCAGTCTGTGATGTTATGAACTGATGGCACAGGCTGTTCTAGAAAGTTCCTGAGGAGTTTGCTGCAGTGCACAGCCAGAGAACAGAGCACCACTGCATGTCAGGAGCTCCTCTTTCTGTCACCTCTCTGTGCCTGTCACATTCCTGGAGGAACCAGGCACTGGAGACGTGTGCTGTACCTTCAAACACAACTCGACAGGAACATGATTTCCTTCCTGTGTTGATTTGGTGCGAGATTCAGTGAGATTCACACCAATTCTGCGTGAGCGTGGAGCAGGATGCATCAGCTSTGCATTAACTGTGAGGCTGCAATAGGAATCACAAACCCCACTGAGGCAGAGGAAGATTGTCCTTAACCAAATGTGCAGCTGTAACGTATTTTTCCTGTTCCCTGTATTCATTTTTAGCCAAATAATGTTGGGGTGCAATGGAATCACCACCATAAATTGTTTTTCACTCCAAATGGCAAAACAGAGGAAATGCAGTGAAGGAGGAGGAGGAGGAGAAGGAGGAGGAGGGGGAGGAGGAGGAGGAGGAGGATGTGGAGGAAGCTGGCTGGATCTGCACGTTTCCAATCACATGTGTTCTCTGTTTTATTGAAGGAAAGCGTGGACCTGGGCGAGATCATGTTTTCCCTTTGTTATTTGCCAACTGCAGGTCGCCTCACCCTAACAGTCATTAAATGCAGGAATCTCAAAGCTATGGACATCACTGGCTACTCAGGTGGGTGTTTGCTGGCTGAGCAGGACCCTGTTGCATCCACATTTCCTCCTCTTCCCCCAGTGGGTGGTGGGTGAACCATCACAGAATCACCTAAAAACAGCTGAAAACAAAATTTGAAGAGCAGAATTATCTGTGGGCTGTTTCCCATCCCACTGCAGGGTTTTCAAGGCCAGAGCTCTGATCCGTCTTTTGGATTGGTCACTTAGATCTGTCACGACCCTCTTAGCCAGAATCAATCATTTCACCCCAAAATCAGGAAAGGATCTTGGGCCACTGAGATAAATCCCATTAGAATGGTCATTCCCCTGTGCCAGTGGTCAAACCTCAGGGTCACAGCCCCCTCAAGACTGGCCACAGTCACAGTTTCAAAGAGCTGACTTGCAAAACCAGCATGCACAAATTCTGCTTTTCATCATAAAAAGCAGTTTTCATTTCCAGACACCAACTTCAGAGCGTTTGAATTTCGTTGTACAAAAGACAGCAACAACAGAGACCTTTGCAGAAAATGTTTCTGCTCAGCTGGAGCTTAATGCCATATGAAATGTCTGAGAATTGAGACCTCAGGTGAAGCCAGCTCAGCCTTTCTGCAATAATAATAATGATAAGAATGSAGTGCTGGTTCTCTGGCACCTGAAACCTCAGCTCACCACCCACATCACTGTGGAAAATGATGGATTTTACTTCTCTGCAGGCAAACTTATTTCTAAAAGTCCATTTGAGGAGTTTGTGTGGCTCCTGGGAGCTCCCAGCCCCTCTGATAAAACTCTTCCAAGGGTAACTAACCACACCTCCACCATCAGAAGGTCTTTCCCTGTCTCTTCCTCCCCAGATCCATATGTCAAAGTGTCTTTGCTCTGTGACGGGCGAAGGCTGAAAAAGAAGAAAACCACCATAAAGAAAAACACCCTTAATCCCACCTACAACGAAGCAATAATCTTTGACATCCCCCCCGAGAACATGGATCAAGTCAGCCTCCTGATCTCCGTCATGGATTATGATCGGTAGGTGGGAGGCTCTGGGGAGCTGCAGGGGAGAGATCCCTTTGGGTGCAGATTTTCCTGCTCCAATTCCATTTTCCAGAGTGTTTTCCTGTTGGTGGCAGAGCTCTGTGGCATCAACCTGACTCTGTTGATTTATTGCCGCAGTGATGTGAAATTTATGATATTTATGGTTATGGAGAAATGACGAGTTTGGTAAAGGCATAACCTTGCTTTATGAAAGTTTTATGGCATTTCTTTGAGCAAGTGCCCTGCTCCCCTTGCTTGTTGATTTGTCCCATAACCCATTTTAGAAAGCAAATAAGCAAGACTGGGTGTATGAATTATGCATCACTGATCTGAGGGTTATTCTTGCTGTTCAGCACTACTCACACCTCCTTCCACATCCTGTGTCTGGGCTGATCTGCAGCTGAAATAATTTAAAAATTTTAAAACTGCTGGGATTATTCGTGGTGTTGGCAGTGCTGGGGCAGACAGAAAGCCCAGGCTCAGCAGAGCAAGGTTTGAGCCAGGTTTGGGCAGCCTGAGAGATGGATGTGGTGTCTAAATTCCCCTTACCTAAACCAGAGGCTGGACAAAATTCAGAAAATCAAAAGCRGTTTTATTTATTGAAGGGCCTCTGGTTCTGTYGGTTCTGGGAGAAGAGACCAACCCACACTTGACCCCAACCACCCTTCAGGCAGTTCATGATCAGCTCCATCCCCCATTCCCAGGCTGGATAATTCCTCCAGCGGTGGCACAAAGGCTCTGGTTGGCACCTGAGGAGCACAAAAGGCATTGCCCACACCCCTGGGGAGCTGAATCAGGGCCCTTTTGGCCACCCTGAGCCCTTTTTGGACAGATAATGACTAAACCCAGATACCTAAAATAGAGTCTGGGCAAAATCCAGAGAATGCAAAGCAGTTCTGTTCATTGCAGGGCCTTCAGGGCCATCCAGGGCAGTCCCACACCCACAATGGACAATGGCTCACGGGTTTTTCACCCTTTTTCACTTTTGTCCATTTGCACATCGGGATTTGCTGAATCCTCCAGTTGCAGCTGCAGCCAATGCAGTCATTCACTCCAAGTTGGCTCCCCCAATTCTCTGTTGTTTCCGTCTCTTGAAGCCTGGCGCAGTGAGGTGTCCTTGAGTTTGGGGCTGCAGAGGAACTGTTTTGTGTAAAAAATGGGAGAGAAGGAGCTGGAAATGGAGTCTGGAGTGATCCACTGATGAATCACAGGGTTACAGATCAATGGAAATAGAGAAGCTGAAATCCTGAGGGATCAGATGGTGATGGTGCTGCTCCTCTGCTGCTTTTCAGGGTGGGACACAACGAAATCATCGGGGTTTGCCGCGTGGGGGTCAACGCYGAGGGGCTGGGCAGGGACCACTGGAACGAGATGCTGGCGTACCCCCGCAAACCCATCGCCCACTGGCACCCGCTGGTGGAGGTGAAGAAATCCTTCAAGGAGGTCAGTGGGGTTATCCTGCCCTTGCTGAGTGGGAGGGGGCTGGGGCTGGGCGTGCAGAGAGCTCCTGCTCTTTCCTGGGATTTTCTGAGCGGAGCTGGGGGAGTTTTCTCACCAGAAATGAACCCTAGAAAACAAGCACTTCTGTGTTGCCTCGAAATAGCTCCTTGAGCTCGCAAGCAAGGCTGAGAAGAACTGTATTTACAGATGTGGCTGTTACATTTTTGGGCTTTTTATTTTCTTTTTTTTTCCTTTTTAAATTAGAGATTGAGAGCAGTAAGGGAAGAGAATGCTGCTCTGATTGCAGAACAAATTGTCCAGGGATATTGCCTATTTCAAGTTTCAATTTTTCATCCTAAAAGATTTTTCTGTTGACTCATCTCCGAGCCTTTGAGGGAGAATAAATAGAACAAATGTAATTGCTCTAAGCATCTCCAGAGAAAGAGACTGACTTGATGCAGCCCCAGATGATAAAATAGGRCTGAAATGCCCGGGTACCATTTCGTCCATCTCTGGCATTTTCTTCCTCCTCGCACTCCGATTTCTCACRCTTCCATAGAGCTCTTTGGCTCTGCCTGATTTAGGTCATAATTTCTGGAGGAGAGAGAGATGTGGAAAAGGGCACACACACGCCGTTGACACTTCAAGTACGAGAGAAAAAAAAAGCCAGCATTTGTGGCCAGCGATACGAGGATAAAGGCAATAAAACCTCCCGCTCTGTCTGGGGCTGAGGAGGTATTTTCCCTCAAAGCCACAGAAAAAGTACTTAACAAAAAGGATCTCATTTTCCCCTTCGAGTGCAGACACTGAGCTGCACTGGAAAGCAGACACTGCATTTGTTGAGCCCTCAGTGGTGACAATAAGTGTATAAATCCCATGTTTCTTCAGAATCTGGTCTTTCCTCGAATAAGGAGGGGTKGGGAGGCCCTGGCACAGGGTGCCCAGAGAAGCTGTGGCTGCCCCTGGATCCCTGGAAGTGTCCAAGACCAGGCTGGAAGGGGCTTGGAGCACSCTGGGACAGTGGAARGTGTCCCTGCCCAYGGAACTGAATCATCTTTAGGTTCCCTTCCCACTCAAACCATTCCATGATTTAAAGGTCAGTTTGTGCTCTGTTCCAGCCCAGGGCGATTGCACACACGGGAAAACCATTGATATTTTAGCTTAAGACACAGTGGAGATGGAGATGTCAGACAATGGACACCTGAACATCCTCCCTTGTGTGAAATGATCTGTGAGCTCAGCTTGCCCTGCTGTGAGCCAGCACGGGATCAGCTGTGCAGGGCTGGCTGAGCCAAGGCAGAATTTAAACCAGGATGCAGAATTAAACCAGTGTGCAGAATAAAAAAAATGTGCAGAATTTAACCAATGTGCAGAAAAAAAACAGTGTGCAGAATTTAACTAGTGAGCAGAATTAATCCAGTGTGCAGAATTTATCCAGTGTGCAGAATCAAAGCAGTGTGCAGAATTAATCCAGTGTACAGAATCAAACCAGTGTGCAGAATTAATCCAGAGTGCAGAATTTAACCAGTGAGCAGAATTAATCCAGTGTGCAGAATTTAACCAGAGTGCAGAATTAATCCAGTGTGCAGAATTTAACCAGTGAGCAGAATTAATCCAGTGTGCAGAATTTATGCAGTGTGCAGAATTAATCCAGTGTGCAGAATTTAACCAGTGAGCAGAATTAAGCCAGTGTGCACAATTTATCCAGTGTGCACAATTTATCCAGTGTGCACAATTAATCCAGTGTGCAGTATTAATCCAGTGAGCAGAATTTAACCAGGGTGCATCATCAAACCAGTGCACAGAATTAATCCAGTGTGCACTTTGTGTACGGGGGTAACTCTGCCTTGGGGAGCTCAGCAGCACCAGGGTTTCATCTTCCTTCCCCTGCCATGCCTGAGCAGTCTCCCTGTGTCACCTCACCCTGCCAGGGGCAGATGGGGCCCAGCAGCCACAGGGTTCCAGCAGAAATGGGATGGGATCCATCATTTGATCTGCTGGCATCTGCAGGACCTCACAGCACGACATGAACCGCCATGGCTGACCCAGGAGCAAGAGTTCCTTCTCCTGGCTGCAATTTTGGTGGCTTTACCACACTCATTTTCAAATGCAGGTGCGGGTTTTGAAAGAAAAACTCCTGTAAAGTTTTTGAAAATCACCAGGAAAAAAAAAAAGGGAAAAAAATAAAAGGCATTATTGTTATGATGAAACTCAGAGAAACCAAAGATGACTCACCTTCTAAAATATACTTTGAAAACCATGGCTGAGCCCCCAAGACTCTGGAAAAAAACTGAGTGAATCATTTCACCCCCCAGTGCACAGGTCAGGAGCTCTGCTTAAAAGGAAGGAAAAAACCCTCTGATCATCTGTTCTGGTATTTCTGCCACAAACTGGTGCGCAGAGCCAGCAAGCAAATGGTCCCTGTGTTTATTTGCCCTTTTAGGTTTTAGCACTGCTGCCTGCAAATCCCCAGAGCAGCCTAAAAGAAAAACTAAACAGAAAAGGCAYAGGCTCCCGGAGAGAAATTAATGGGAAATGGTATTTGTTGGTTACAAGTCGTTGCATCATCTTTTCCACTTTGTGTTTGGACATTTTTCAAAAAGAACTTTGGTTTTTTTGGTGCTGTGCCCTCAGCACTGGGTCCCTGTGCAGGCTGCTCCATCTTCCCAGGCTSCGTGGGATGCTGGCTCCCCCTCCCCCTGCCCTGACTGAGGATGCTGAGGGTGAACTGCTGGTTCTTCATCWCTTCCTCACCCTTTGTGGGGGTGAATTCGGGCTGTGCTGGCATGTGGAGTCATCATCCTCATCTTCCTCTTTGTCATCTTCGTTTTCATCTTCCCCTTTGTCTTCTTCATCTTCTTCTTTGTCTTCTTCCTCTTCACCTTCTTCTTTGTTTTCTTCATCTTCCTCTTTGTTGTCTTCATCTTCCCCTTTGTCTTCTTTATTTTCATCTTCCTCTTTGTCTTCTTCATCTTCATCTTCCTCTTCACCTATCTTCATCTTCATCTTCACCTTCATCTTCATCATCTTCTTTGTCTTCTTCATCTTCCTCTTTGTCTTTGTCTTCATCTTCTTTGTCTTCTTCTTCTTCCTCTTTTTCTTTTTCATCTTCCTCTTTCTCTTCTTCATCTTCCTCTTTCTCTTTGCCTTCTTCATTTTCATCTTCCTCTTTTCTTCATCTTCATCCTTTGTCCTCTTCCTCTTTATCTCCAAGCACATTTGTGCCAGGCAGCAGCAAATGGAGCGTTTTCTGCCCAGCTGATTCTCGTGACCGTCTCGGTGTGCTCTGAACGAGAGCCTTCCCTAATGGAGTGCTCGACCCCAAACCCGAGGCGAGGGAGCCGGGATTGAATTGTCTTTTGATGTTTGAGTGGAGGAAGGGATGGATGATCAGGAATTGTCCCTTTGATGTTTGAGTGGAGGACGGGATGAATGACTGGGAATTTTCCTTTTGATGTTTGAGTGGAGGAAGGGATGGATGACCAGGAATTGTCCCTTTGAGTTTGAGTGGAGGAAGGGATGGATGATCAGGAATTTTCCCTTTCATGTTTGAGTGGAGGGAGGGATGGATGATTGGAGCTGTTTGCCCAGACCTGCTCCAAGCTCTGTCATCTCCCCACACTCTGGTTGGGATCCCAGACACCTCCCCAGAACTCAGGGGAGAGAAGAGTGTGGGAATGTGGAATTTCTTTGCTACCCAATACCATACCTGGTGCACCTTGGAAAGGCTTTGGCCAAGAGACAGTATTTTGGCTACAGCTCAGAATCGCAGTAAATGCTGGTGAATTTACCAGGAAAATGTCACCAGAGATGCTCCAGGAGGATGGCCCGGCCCTGACCCCCTTACCCTGCCACAGCAAGGATGGATGGA